TACAAGTCAAAAAAATTACAGGTACAAAGGCTTTTTCATCAACTGAAGAGACCTGATAGTATATTGTGCTGACCAAATTAAATTGTGTCCTCTTTTTTTTTGGTTTATTTTTAGACAGGGTCTCACTATGTAGTTGAGACTGACCTGGAACTCACTATGTAGCCCAGGTTGGTCTCGAACTCACAGTGATCCTCCTGCCTCAGCCTCCTGAGTGCTGGGATTACAGGCATGCGTCACCACACCCGGTTAAGGTGTCCTCTTTTATAATTAGTTCATACTATATTTTCAGAATATTGCTTACTGTTAAGGTACCAAAAGTAAAGGCAAGTAAAATCTGTGTCATGTACATTAAATTCTTATGCTGCTTTTCCTACAATTTGACACATTAAAATACATAAAGCTAAGGTTTTTTTCATATATATTGGAAAATCTAATCAAAACATATTGCTGCCTCTATATTTGGTCAGAGACCATTGCTATCATTTTGACTAGTTAAATCTGAAATGAATAAAAAAGGACTAACTGAGGTGCAGAGCTTTTACATTCCTTAAAAATTGAAAGTAAAATATTTGAATACATACTTTAATAACATGTTAGAATTTCATAGCCCTCCTTTGGGGAACCAACCACAGGGACTGTACATAGTCAGATCCTATCTGTTTTATGGCAACCCTATCATGGAAACCATTTTATTTTGATTAGTAAGAACAGAGAAGATCGGGGCTGGGAATTTAGCTCAGTGGTTCTGCTGCCTGCCTTGCAAGCGCAAGGTCCTGAGTTTGATCCTTGGTACCAAAAAAAAAAAAAATAGCAGAGAAGATCCACAAGATTGCAAAGCATGAGTGAACCAGAACTGAGAGGAAGAGAGAGAATAAACTGTCCTACCTCTAAAATAAGTCAGGACGCACCCCATCAATGTCCCAGTACTACACTATTAACTCCAAATAGACCAGGCAACCAGGAAAACTAAAGTTATAGTTGAACACTGAGCCTCTATAATCCTACTAGTAGTAGGCTTGCCATCTCCTCATAAGCAAGAGGAAGAGCAATTGGTTAGGGTTCAGGGAGGAGGAGGAGACGACTTCAGCACACTGCGGGCCACCCTGTCCTCAACGCATAAGTATCTATGGATTGATCGTCTCACTGGCTGATTGTGCAAACTGAACGACAGCCTTTGTAGCAATGACTTGTCCTGGAGGATTATATTCCCAGAAAAATCAGAATTGAAATTCCCTTGAGGAAACAGGACCAGACACTCAGTTTGGGCAGCCCAAAGAGGCTCCTACATAGCTGAATCTTTCTGTACAGCCTTTGGAACTTTCTTAAGATTCGCATAGAGACTACTATATTTTTATAAAATTTAAAGTAAAAAAGCTGATTTCAAAACCCATGTGTCAATTAGCAGGTATGTGACTAAAAATAATTTAATCTCTCTGTGATTTAGATTCTGAACCTAATAAAATAATGAAAATAATACTCCAATAACTAACACAACTTTTGATGCTCAAAATAATGACTTACATAAAATAGTTTTCATTTACAAAAGCCTCCATACAAAACAAACTACTGGGGCTGGGGATTTAAGCTGTGTGGCATTGTGCCTGCCACGTAAGCTCAGGGTCCTGAGTTCGATCCCCGAGACTGAAAAAAAAATAATAATAATAATGACAAACTACTATCATATACACAAAATAGTCACAAGCACCCTCTAAATGCTCTCACATAACTATCTGTTCTAGACATGCCTTTTTAGAACTTTTGGCATTACCATTTAATGCTCCCTCAATGTACGTACAATATTATCTATTCAAATGATACACTTTTCAGTTCCAATTAAATTCCTCCCAGCTACATTTAGTCTGGTGCCATTTTTTATTTTAACAAACTATTGTGTAATATGTCATAGTATGAAAAACTTTGATATTCATGAGGACTACAGCAAAGAATTCTTAGTCCTTCACATGTGGCATTATATCCCGTTTAACATACTCTTTCTATTCTGGTACAGATCTTTGTCACTCTTTGTGGTCATCTGGAATCTTTTAAATAACTTCTTATTGTCTGTGTCACAGGTAGGCTATGAGATCTGTTAGTAAGAAAACCTGATATGCAACTTGGATTCTTAAGAAGATATAGTACAGAACCAGGGATTTAGCTCAGTGGCACCACACCTGCCTCACAAGGGGAAGGTCCTGAGTTCAATCCCCAGTACCAAAAAACAATGTATTGAGGATCTCAAAGAAAATATAGTACACTCAGAAGCAGAAACCACCTAAAAGTCACCTTCCGGCCAGCACAGTGGCATTTGTGCCCAGAATTTGCAAGCAGCTATGATCAAAATCCTGGCATTCATAGGTTGGATTCAGCAGAGGAAATTATGGTGTCTGTGTCCAAAAGTAGTGGCAGTGGGATTTTCACTGAAGCAAAAATCACAATGACACAAAATCAGTAGTGCTATGTAAGCATTATTCCCAGATGCAAGGCCTCGAGGCCTGATGTCCTGACTCCACAAAGAATCTGTACACTACACAGTATCATCCAAAACATTCTTTCTCTGTTTAAACTAACTAGGGAGGGATCTGCTGTTTGCAGCTCAAAACACTGATTAGTAGATCCAAGAATCATTGTTCACTCTGTTCTTTAATTTATTCTTCAACATTTAAGACATATACAAAGACCATTTCTTTCTTAGCCTGGAATTTTTCCACATACACCCAACATTCAAAGCAGCAGTTGGTCTTCTTTCTGTGGAAAGTTACTCACACTTTAAACAAACTGCTTTATTATTGCAATTGCACATTACCATGTGCACACTGTATGCATTTGGGATCACTACTGGGTAATCTATAATGTTATATTCAATAATCTCAGTGGTCTAGACTACTTGTAAAATGCCTATAATTATGTCTATCAAACTCTTAGAAATTGGCATTCATGATGCTTGATTTTTGTATGATACAGCTTCCTCTACACATTATTCAAATTAACTCTGTTTGATAATGTTATTCTTCAATTAAGTCACTGTATTTAAATATTTGATAGCCAGTCTTCTCTAAACTTTCCCAAAATAAAAATGATTATGAATTGGAGTGTTAATACAATCACAACTGGTAAGTTTTCTTCCTAAGAATAAATATCTGTATGGAGAGCTTAAACAAATCAAGTTTTTGGTGTCCCCTGGAAGGCCTGTCAGACACAGAGGGGTACCCTAGGACAAAGAAGTCAAGACATGACCTGAAACCTCGTGGTAGTGCATGCATATAATCCCAGCACTCCAGGAGGCCAAGGCAAGAGGACCGCAAATTCAAGCCCAACCAGGGCAATTTTAGCAAGAGCCTGTCTCAGAATAAAAATTAAAAACTGGGGTGTAGCTCAGAGTGAAAAGCCCGTGTGCTGACCTCAGTACTGGAAAAGTAAATAAACGACATGACCCCAAGGATACATACTCTTTTGGGGGTGGACAGATGCACTGGTTTCCCAAAGCCAGCTCATTCTAGCCTAGGAGAGATAACTTCTTCAATTTGAGGGAATTTTGGAGCCAGGGATTTAGCTCAGTGGTGCTGCACCTGCCTTGCAAGTACAGGGTCCTGAGTTCAATCCCTGGTACCAAAAGAGAAAAAATTGGGGGAAATTTCTGCAAACCATTTGTTAAATATTAGCACTAGTAAAAATTAAATTATATAAGCTTATAATTGTATTACCTGAAGATCCAAGATAAGTCCTCAAAAATATTAAAATAATGGTAATACATGTGCAAATCTCTTCACTTCTCAATTATTTTACATTTACTGTTATATATTCTTCTGATGTTATTTATATTTAGTGTAATTTATTCACCTGAGGTTATTTATATTTATTGTGACTGAATGAGGAAAAATACTAGGATATGGTGTATTTCTTCCCCCAGCTTCCCAAGTAAATATTCAGTGGCATTGTGGTAGAAGCATCTACACCACAGATATTTATAAAAGCTAACAATCAGGTCTTGATTTATACTTTTGCCAATTGTCTCTACTTAAGACAGTGATGATGTGCAAATATTAATAGCAAAAATGAAAACATGTTAATTACCTAGATTAAACAAAAGTGTATCTGTAGCTTTCTGAAAACTTCAGGACTTGTTCTTCTAATGTCAAACATTATTGTCTGATTCAGCAAAGAAGTCATTCACATCATTGATAAATGGGTAAAATTCGGACAAATGTCTTTATCAATTCACTTTCATTTTATTTGCTAACATAAATAAAAATACACCTGTTATTCGTGTCAGAACTATGCTTTTCATCATTTGCCAGCACAGGTTGCTTAGGAATATATAGGAGCTTGGCAAAAGTCAATAAAAGTAGTCTATGAGAATCAATTTGCTTTAAGAAATGTATAGTAAAGAAAGTTGTAATTTTATCATTTGTGAGTTGTATGATGTATAGACTTTAATCATAAATATATATATACAGATATATGAGAGAGAGAGAGAGAGAGACAGAGAGAGAGAGAGACAGAGAGACAGAGAGAGAGAGACAGAGAGAGAGAGAGATTTGCGGGAATACTAAGGATTCAACCCAGGAACCTTGCATTGAGCTAAATCCCTGGATACTTTTTTTTTTCTTTTGAGACAGGGCAACTTAATAGTTGCCCAGGCAGGGCTTGAACCTGTGCCTCCCAGAGTGCTGGGATTACAGGTATGCATGACCTGTAATATATTTATGTACCTATATGTGTACTGTTTCTTTTACCCGCACACTAGATAGTTATCTATTGAGGGAAAAAGAAATCAAATCCTCTCATCAGCACTGTAAAAAGAAAAAAAGGTAGAAGGGGAGAGGAAAAGATGAATGAGTAGACTTAAACATGAGTAAAAACAGTAAATGCAGTTGATTCTTACATTGCGAAACTGCTCAGTGTTCTTAATCCCTTTCCATGAGGACCTTATCGTTCAGGGGTGGTTCAGTCCTGGGCATCCTCCTCCTTTCTGCACACAAATGCCCTCCCCATGATAGTACCTCAAAGCTCAGCTGTGCTCCGGGTCCCGCCCATCCCATCTCCATTCCATCGGTCTTTTCTTAGCAGCAGCCCAAGGCACTGACTTCTCTTTACTTCAGCTATAGGAAAAAAGAGGAAGGAGTCTGCTGAGTTGTCAGATCCCTCTATTGCATTTTCCCCTTCCATCACCCACTTGTCAGGTCCCTACCAGAGCCCTCACTTCCTCTCAGCTACTAC